AATTGATGTTTTCAGCTGAGACCGCTGCCCAGGGGCTGGAAGTCTTGGGAGCAGTTTGTGTCCTTCTCTCAGCACGAGGCAGCCCTGCTGGTGTCTGTGGATGTGGTCACTGATGCATCCAGGATGACTGAGTAAAATGTGTTTAATTGGCATGAACAGGTGCTAACTGGGAGCTGGTGGGGTCTCCGAGGTCTGGGTGGACATCTTATTTACTTTGGCGGGTCCTGGGGAGAACAGGAGACTCTGTGGAGCCCCTGGTGTGGGGGTGCTGGTGGGGGCGGCAGGGAGCTGTATGATCATCCGAGGATACCCACGCTGCTCTGCACTGCACCTGCTCTGCCCCATGCTCCGGAGGAGGACCGAGGGACGTGTCCTGGTCGGACAACAGAGCCACATTCCCGGCATGCAGTGGGCCAGTTCGGTGGCCCTTGCATTTCAGAGGTCACGTTAGACACACCCTTCCTCAGGTGGTGCTCAACAGCAGGGAGCAGGAGAGGCACCGTCTGTCATCTCAACCTGAAGGGACAGCGTGGGCAGAGGAGCCTCTTGTGCTCCTAATCCCATGGGCCACTGTGTGTGCTGCAGGGGTGTACTTTTGGGTGATTCCTGTGGTCACCAGCTCCCTGTGGAGGGGATTCTGGGTCAACATTCCATTCATTGTCACATCATAAATTGTCTCCTACCCCAGGGGAAGAGGTCAACACCAACACCACCCACGCAGTGACGACACCCAGACCCAGTTGTGTAGCCTCTGTGGGGTTTGCCTTTGAGGAGGCCGCTGGGTGCACCATTCCCAGGGCTCAGTGTCGAGTCTGATGACAGAGAGGGAAAGGTGACAGGGTGACTTTCACACTGTCTACTCTGCCCGGAGATGGCTGTATGCGTGGTCAAGGGTCGACCACTCCAACGCATCCCTCTGCCAAATCTACCCCAACGAGCTCCTGGAGAAGGATCCGGTCTGTGAGCCATGTAAACCCAGGTGACCACGAGTGGAGGCAGACAGAAGCGTTGAGAAGTGTCTCTGGCTTTACATGCGTGCCTCGTGTGCAGACATGCTCTGCAGACAGCGGAGAGCTTGTGGCGGTGTCTGGATTCACAGGAGTGTGTGGAGGCTCTCAGAACACCAGACTTGGCACCTCAGGGTGTCTGGGGCTGGGGAACCCGTTTCTCTGGCACTGGGCTTAGGGCATATAGGTGAGGGGTGCTGGGCAGATCAGACGCCAGCTCTACCATTCCTGGCACCACAGCACATGACTCCAGATGTATGCAGGGATTCACAGCTTCCGGTGGAAGGCACAGAAACCAAACGGGACTTTCTGACCAAACTCATTATGGAAGTTTCTGGTTTTTTGTTTTTTTGGGTTGCTTTTTTTTTTGGTTTTTTGAGACAGGGTCTCACCATGTAGTTGAGACTGACCTGGAACTCACTATGTAGCCCAGGCTGGTCTCAAACTCACAGCGATCCTCCTGTCTCAGCCTCCCGAGTGCTGGGATTACAGGCGTGCGCCACAATGCCCGGCTTCATGGAAGTTTTTTTTTAAAAAAAAAATCATGTGTCATTTATGATGTCACTTTTTTATTAGTGCTTACAGAAACACAGAATAGTGAGTTTCCTTTTAGAAAACTGGTCCATGTAGACGACACAGGTTGGCCATTTCTAGTGCTGCCGTCCCCTCTTCCTTTCCTCCTCCTACCTGGGTCCCCTCCCCACCTCCAGAAGTCTACTTCTAGTGCCCTGTCCTCTCTCAATCCACAATCAATCAATTAATCAATCAAATGCAGGTTTCCTATTTAAAAGGAAACATGACATTTAACTTTCTCAGGCTGGCTTATTTCACTCACTGTGACAACTACAATTTCACCCAGCTTTCTGCACCTCACATGCTCTTCACGGCTGCCTCCTTCCACTGCGTCTAAACACCACCTTTCCTTTCTCCATTCGCCTGCTGACGGACAGTTAGGCTGCTTCGCAGTGTAGCTGTCGTGAACTGCACTGCTATGAGCATGAGACTGCGTGGATCCTACGGGATGGTTTGTCTTATTCTATTTTTTGTTTTGTTTTGTCTTTTGTTTTTGTAGTACCGGAGATGGAACTCAGGCCCTTGAACTTTGTCTTTCATTCTTTTGGGAATACATCCAGGCACAGCGAGATCCAGTGGACTTTCTGACTAGTTACTTGCGGAATCTCCACGCTGAGTTCCACGGTGGTTGTGCTAGTTCCCATCCTATGTGAATTTCTATGGGGAATTTGAAGGGGCGGAGAGCGGCACAGAGGATGCTGGTCCTCAGCTGCGTCGCCCCATCTCACTCTCACATGGGGGGCTCTGGAGACTGGCAGCCCTGGCAGTGGCGCTGCTGGGAATCCAGGCAGTGGGGCTAATTCCAAAGGGCTGCTCTGTCCTTGTCAAATTGAATGGGACGCTCCTTTCACCCCGACTCTCTTTCCATTGCTTTGAAGAACAAAAATTCCCCTGGTCACCAAATCTCGAAAAATTAGCGCAGATATTTGTACTACTGTTTTACCACGTTACCACCAGTAGGCGCCAGGCACACCAGGTGACTTCCATATGTCATCATCTCACTTAACTTCATAGCCACCCTGTAAGGGGAGAATTTTACCACAGCCCTGATCCAGATGAGGAAACTGAGTCACCGATGGTTAAATAAGACACTCCAGGTTATGTACATAAGAGCACGTGACTAGACCAGGCCCCGCACTGAAGACTCTGACTTTAAACTCTGCACTGGCCCACTCCCTTCTCCTGCCCTCTAAATCCAACACAGCAGGGCCAGTGCAGGACCCAGGGCTGTTGCTGGGTTTCCAGGAGCTCGGAAACATCAGAGGTGGCTGAGGGGCCAAATATCCCTCTCACCACCACCCACAGCTCATGAGGAGGAGGGAGGCCAGGCCACCGCTGGCTGCCCCCACCTCCGTGTGGTGCAGCTGGGCTGCTCCTTCCCTGGTGGCCTCAGGAGGCCTGAGGGTGGCAGAAGAGGACTGCCCATGCAGGAACTCGGCTCCTCTGCTTGCTGCCCACCGCGCATGCCTCAGTTTGCTCCTCTGTGAAATGGGCTCTGAGTCTGCCAGTTCGGCACTGAGTCCAGCCACAGAGAACGACGCAGCTGCTGCTGTGGCAAGCACGGCACCACGTGACCAGGACAGACAGAGAACAACAGCTCCAGACCGGGTACTCCAGGCCACCCGCTTGGACAGCTCCACGGCCTGCCGCTAGCGCCTGCAAAATTGGCCTGCTGCTTCCAAGTGGTCTGGGCCGGCCCCAAGGAGAAATCCTTCCGGCAGAGCGAGCAGCTCACCGATCCCTAAGAAATGCCACCGCCCACCTAGTCACCCACAGAAAGGCCTCGCAGGCCAGGTAAGGGAGACCCAGCAGCTCAAGGCCTCTAGGGCCCAGCACCCTGAGGGCGCTGTCCTCCCGCCTTGGCAGTGACACCCGGCTGCGACAGGGAGCAGGGAGCCCCACTGAGGAACGAGTTTGACTTTGCTGGACGAAGGAAGAGTAGGACGTGGAGCCCACGCAGAACAGGCTTTGGGAGACCGGGCCGGCCGCGCACAGCCCCGCTGTCTGGGGAGCACCTGGGGGACCAGGG